ACAGTTGTCTTTTACCTTGTAAAGCTTTCGCAGCGATTGCTCCTCCCTTATGTATGATTTTAGTGTGGGGTTGGACTTAAAAAAGGACTTTTGCTGAAATTGTCTTTACAGGTTTCGCAAAGCTTTCGCGGTGTTTGCCAGTAATGGCTTCAGCTGCGAACAGTTGTCTTTTACCTTGTAAAGCTTTCGCAGCGATTGCTCCTCCCTTATGTATGATTTAAGTGTGGGGTTGGACTTAAAAAAGGACTTTTGCTGAAATTGTCTTTACAGGTTTCGCAAAGCTTTTGCGGTGTTTGCCAGTAATGGCTTCTGCTGCGAACAGTTGTCTTTTACCTTGTAAAGCTTTCGCAGCGATTGCTCCTCCCTTATGTATGATTTTAGTGTGGGGTTGGACTTAAAAAAGGACTTTTGCTGAAATTGTCTTTACAGGTTTCGCAAAGCTTTTGCGGTGTTTGCCAGTAATGGCTTCAGCTGCGAACAGTTGTCTTTTACCTTGTAAAGCTTTCGCAGCGATTGCTCCTCCCTTATGTATGATTTAAGTGTGAGGTTGGACTTAAAAGAGGACTTTTGCTGAAATTGTCTTTACAGGTTTCGCAAAGCTTTCGCGGTGTTTGCCAGTAATGGCTTCAGCTGCGAACAGTTGTCTTTTACCTTGTAAAGCTTTCGCAGCGATTGCTCCTCCCTTATGTATGATTTAAGTGTGGGGTTGGACTTAAAAAAGGACTTTTGCTGACATTGTCTTTACAGGTTTCGCAAAGCTTTTGCGGTGATTGCCAGTAATGGCTTCTGCTGCGAACAGTTGTCTTTTACCTTGTAAAGCTTTCGCAGCGATTGCTCCTCCCTTATGTATGATTTTAGTGTGGGGTTGGACTTAAAAAAGGACTTTTGCTGAAATTGTCTTTACAGGTTTCGCAAAGCTTTCGCGGTGTTTGCCAGTAATGGCTTCAGCTGCGAACAGTTGTCTTTTACCTTGTAAAGCTTTCGCAGCGATTGCTCCTCCCTTATGTATGATTTAAGTGTGAGGTTGGACTTAAAAGAGGACTTTTGCTGAAATTGTCTTTACAGGTTTCGCAAAGCTTTTGCGGTGATTGCCAGTAATGGCTTCTGCTGCGAACAGTTGTCTTTTACCTTGTAAAGCTTTCGCAGCGATTGCTCCTCCCTTATGTATGATTTTAGTGTGGGGTTGGACTTAGAAAAGGACTTTTGCTGAAATTGTCTTTACAGGTTTCGCAAAGCTTTCGCGGTGTTTGCCAGTAATGGCTTCAGCTGCGAACAGTTGTCTTTACCTTGTAAAGCTTTCGCAGCGATTGCTCCTCCCTTATGTATGATTTAAGTGTGGGGTTGGACTTAAAAAGAACTTTTGCTGAAATTGTCTTTACAGGTTTCGCAAAGCTTTTGCGGTGATTGCCAGTAATGGCTTCTGCTGCGAACAGTTGTCTTTTTACCTTGTAAAGCTTTCGCAGCGATTGCTCCTCCCTTATGTATGATTTAAGTGTGGGGTTGGACTTAAAAAAGGACTTTTGCTGAAACTGTCTTTACAGGTTTCGCAAAGCTTTTGCGGTGTTTGCCAGTAATGGCTTCAGCTGCGAACAGTTGTCTTTTACCTTGTAAAGCTTTCGCAGCGATTGCTCCTCCCTTATGTATGATTTAAGTGTGAGGTTGGACTTAAAAGAGGACTTTTGCTGAAATTGTCTTTACAGGTTTCGCAAAGCTTTTGCGGTGATTGCCAGTAATGGCTTCTGCTGCGAACAGTTGTCTTTTACCTTGTGAAGCTGTCGCAGCGATTGCGCCTCCCTTATGTATGATCTTTAAAAAGTGAGGGGTTGGATTTAAGAAAGTAAATCCAAGTTTGCAAGTAATAATATAACGTTGTAATTTTCCCTTGTATTTTCAGATATGGAAAGCCATGACAAAGACTGCGTGGATCCCAAGCTGAAAATGAAGAGGGGTGGTTATGCAGAAAAGGAAAGTGAAAGGTATGCCGATGATTGAATGTTTAGTGTTTGTTTTTTTCTTTCTTATCAAGGTACTTAAAGACTTTTCGACTAACAATTAATTTGTATTTACTTTCATGTTGTTTTGTTTTCCTCCGATTGCTATCAGTGTATTAGCAAATTGTGAAAAAAATCTCAAGCAGTTTGACTGTTCTATTTTGCCTAGCATTGAGTGATGAAAAAAAAAAACAAATATAAGATAAGGGTAGTAAACTACGATCCTTCCCAAGATGTGAGGTTAGTTTGCCTAATGCCCAACGTCAGACATATTCTGACCACTGGGTCTCCTTTTAAACAATTTGATTTGGTATGGTAGCGAAATCGGAGTAGTTACTCTCTGCCGTCTCTAAAGACTAGGCAAGCAAAAACAGGGCAGAGCCGGAGAAATAGATACAATGACAAATGTTATCTTTTACCCACAGAGATGATGTAGGTGGTGATGGAAAGGAAAATGGGAGAGAGATTAACTTCAGAAATATTAAGGTAAATATATTTGTAGTTACATGCTTAAACGATGTGTCACGAGTCACTTTGCAACCAACTGCTATGGTAAAGTGACAATAGCTGAATGAAGGTTCCAAAGTTTGGGATAAGTGACAAGTACATCATATTCTTTTTCCGCCTATCAAATAAAAATTCACGAAAACAAGCAAATCGCTCATCACCAGCGAAGTGAAAACGATGACATATGTCTGGAAACCTCTTCCTTGGAAAGAACTTAACTCAACACTATTTGCGTTGCTTTCGTTGTTCATGGAATACACTACGTTGAAATAATGTTCGCATTTACCTTACTCTATCTTCAGATGTCAGACGTCGAACAATGGCTACAAAATCATGTGTCAGAAGGAAGCGAAGAAGACGCCATTGTTAGTAAGGAGGAGATGTGGAAAAGTTTCTGTTGTAAATCAGACATAAAGGTGGGAAGAGAATTATTTTTTAATTACCTTGGGTTGGCGCTATCTCGTTTGGAATACAAGAATGTGGTTCCGATTATCAAAAAGTGCCGGCGAGTGGGATACAAGGGGCTAATTTTGTTGAGTGCTCCTGTGAGCGATAAAAAGGCGCAATCATGCGATAAAAATGCGTCGGTATCAGTTACACCTCTTGAAGTCAAAGCGCCTGAGAGTTTGAATGAAGAGGTCACCACGGTGTGGCAATCTAACCAGTTAGCCCCTCAAACAAGCATTCAGCGCAAAGCTGTGCAAGAGTGGATGTCTAAATACTACCGCGAAGGAGGAGAGAACGACATCACTACGAAGCAAAACCTGTGGATTCATTACAAAGAAAGCAATGAATTAGATGAGGATCCAAAAAGATCATTTTTTTCGCACCTAGGTAACGTAATAAGGCACCCCCCTTTTGCAAAAGTACGCCAAATTAAGAGGAAAAAGCTTGGTGCTTTCCAGTTCCTAAAGCGGACATTGCCTAGCGATGTTAAGGCACGTACTTGTGAGAAACAGCCATCGTCGACCAGATCAGCTGCATTAGCAGAAGCTGCTAGTGATTTAACCAGCGTCCCTGCTAAAAGAAATTCATTTCAAGTAAAAGAAACAAGCCCTGATCGTTCCAAATCGCATTTCGGTGGTCAGAGGAGTGTGCCTCGTAGTCCCTGTACGATTTTAACCGATTTGGAAAGTGTCCTGGAGAGAAATCCTGATGAAACTTATGTGATTTCTTCTGATATTCCTCTTACAAGTGGTGACAGCGAAATTTTTGAGATTGAAGGAGATTTCAGCTACGACAAAAATGAATTTTCAGGAGGTGAGACAGACATATTCCCTATCGATTCACCAGAGGATATTGCTAGGTGCCCCGACCATTCAGAGGATGGAGATGGCGAAAACGTCAGTCAACCAAGTGAACATGGTGATGCGAGTAGTGAAAGTGATGTAACTGAAATGTCAAGCGGTGCAGAAGAAATCATACCCGTCAACAAGACAGAGGCGTCATCAGACATATTTCATAGGTTCCATAAGAAACTGTCCACTTTGCTTCCTTCGCATCTTCCTGGCAAACCTGCTTCATTTCAGGATTACCTGACAAGCGTCGTTAAAGATCCCGGCAACATAAATGAGGAACGTACAGCCCTTTATTTAGCTTCAGGCTGTGCAAAGACGTACAAGAACTGCATAGTCAGGGCCTTTGTCGCAGCTTCGTTCCCCCCCCCTCTAAAGGTTGGCAGTTTTGCAGCTGAGCAAGTTAAATATACCTTTGAAGGAGACGTCTTCCCACAATTCACTCATATCGAAAAAAGTAACTTCAGCTGCGCCATTTGCATACCTTACCTCAGATGGGCTATAATTAATAGCATACCTCACTCCAAATGTCGAGCCCAATCGGCAAAACCGGATGCAATATTGTCGGGTACTGCGACGTTATGTTTCTCCGGCATGGTCCAGCTCAAAGAACATAGCAGTTCTAGATTGCATTTGGAGGCCGTGGCCTTTTTTCAAAGAGCCCAAGAGGAAGAGCTCCGCTGCGGTAGAAAGAAGGAAGCCAGATTAGCGGGGAAAGAACAAAAGCGTATTTCTGAATATTTTCAAAAACCTTCAGTGAATTTAAACTAGGAAGGACCTCCGAGTTCCAACACCAAGCACACACCAGAAATAAAGTCAAGTGCTGTCATTTATGGGATTCGGAGGTCGTTAAAAATTTTGGAAGTGATTCACAGATTAGAAGAACAACTGCTGAAGGCCTCTTCAAAAAAAGACGCAACAATGGCGGTTTGAAGTGTCATCCACATGAACCAGGTCAGGATTCAGTAGTGCGGATTTGCTCCTCATTTATTTTTGTGACCAAAACTCAGATGCATGTGAAAGACTATTTACTCCACGGATTGCAGATCTTCTGGAAAAATACGTTCCTGGATCACAAGGTACCGTTTTGTACATAAGGGCGGTGTACTCTCTTTTACAGCCATTCCGAGTTCCAGACTTTGGCTCACCAGAGGACGTTCAAGAATCAATTTCGTGTGGCATCTACATTTTCCGCTTGTGGAGGAGGGCGTTGGAACTCAAGAAACTGCGTCTTCATTCTCAGCCGGGGGCAAAAAATGATCCCTCAAAGCGTGGCCACTTTATTACATATGGTTGCTATGCTACAGCAGAAGTTATCTTTTCAGCAGGTACCATCCATCAATTGGCCATGTTTTTACATTTTAAAGGCCTAGGTCCACGCTGGGCATGTCCATACAACTCCGGTACCAAAAGCACAGAACGAATTATCGCAGAATTGCAAGGCAAGACAAATGAATTACAATCCCTGGACTCTCAACCAACATTTGGGGACATGCTCGATAGAAGCACGAAAGTACAGTTCAATATCAATGCGAAACACCGCCTCTCCACAGCTGGTGCAAAGGTATCCTCTTCCCACAAACGAAAACGGCTTGCGTTCGCCTTCAGATCCAGCAAAGGACAAGAGAGCTACGAATACCCTGAAAGGTATTCGGAATTCAAGGCAGCGCAAATCCAAGCTCACAGAAGAGGAGTCAACAAAGCGTGGGCTCTCTTTTCGAAGTACATGCCACAGCAATGCATTGGTCTTTTGAAAGAGAATGACTGCTGGGAGAAACCCTATGTATATAAGAAACCAGAAGGGTGTTTGGTGGTTGACAGTCCGCCAGGAAAAGATCACAATCTCCTTCAAAAGTCGTTTGCGGTGATAAATGAAAATATTGATTCAAAATGCAACGACGACGAACGAGAAGCAGATATTAACATCCCTGAGGAAAGTCAGTACGAAGGACAGTTGCATGCCAATGAAGACATGACCATCAAGCCTGGCTCCGTGACACCCGAGGATCATGGGGATGATAACAGCGGTGGAAAAAGGTGGAAGGTCAGTAAGATAGTTGACGGCAAGGAAACTTACATCCACATCAAGCAGGCCTTAAAACTTCTTCTACCCCGCGAGTACGTATCTCGTTGTCGTCAGAAGAGACACTGGGCATCACAGTACCTCCCAGGAAAGGAGCCCTTGAATCCAAAACATGATATAATAAAGTACTGCAATGTTGCTTTAAAGGTCACCCTCAATGGCACACCAGTATACGACATCGGGCGAGTAGAGGTCATTGAATCGACAAAGGATGGATCGGATGTTGTAAGCTTTGAAAAGAAAGGGAAGCAGTCGGTGCGAGTACGTTGCTCCTTATACACGGAGGACGAAAATGATGTTTATTTCTTTTCTAATGATGTGATTCTTACAAAATGGAAACCACCTTCGGCTATCATTGGGGCAGTAGATTTGCAGCCTGTCACAGATAGTCCCGGAAAGTACAGGCTTCAGTCGGAGTGTAAAGCTCATTTAAAAGAACTAGGATTCTCGCCAAGGAATGCCAAACGTGACAACGACACCAAATCATCTTCAAATCAAACTGAAGATAATGAAGGGGCCACGGAGAAAGACGACTACTACGAAGTAGACGAAATCGTAAGTCGGCGTCTCTCCAAGGACACCCTCGCATATGAGTACAAAGTAAGGTTCAAGGGCTATGGGGAAGAAGACGACATGTGGTTGCCATCATCTTTTTTTAACCGACCGATAACCTTCCAGTCAACATCCAAGTTTGGTAGGAAGAGGAAACATAAGCTAGATCCCGATATGGACCAAGAAACACACAATAAAAGAAAGAAACGTCAAAGCTCTTCTTTCGAAAAGGCCACTGCAAAACCCTCTAGAATGTCCAAGAAAATTACTAAGAACAGCAAAGACAAAGGAAAATCCTTTCGTTCAAGCTTGAAAACCCTTACAGCCGAAGAACAAAGCAACAATGAGAAAGCAAACGACGGTAACACACAATCAAGTGGGCGAAATCAAATCCCTAGATCGAATGTTCGAAGTTCTAATGAGGTTGCAACAGGGAACGAAACAAGACGCAATGTCATCAAGGAGGAGGGTTCCTTCACGCATGGGATAGAATCCTCAAATGTGTCATATGATACCACAAGTGCGGTGAAATCCCGTACCGCAAAGCTTTGTGAGATTGTTCACGTCGACCAGCTTTCCTCAGATGAAGAGTCAGGAACCGTGATGGGCATACTGAGAGACGTTGCTCGGCGTGATGACAACTTTTGCAATTCAAGGAGGACCCTTGGCTATGCAACCTTTCCCGATGTAGATGCAACGTTGCAGAGTTATCTGTGCTCCTCTGGTGAGCATGCCCGTGGAGTTAGCATAACAGATGCCCTGAGAGTAACAAGACTACCGCCATATTCTTTAATCGAAGACGCAGAGAAGGATATTAAGGAAGAAGCAAGTTCCCAGATTCTTGTTCAATTTCCTTCCTACGGAACCTTCAACAAAAGGGGCATCAATATCTTGAAGAGATTTCATCGACTGCGACAACTTCGTGGCGAAGTCCAATTTGAAGAGAAATGGCTGAAAAATGTTTTTTCAAATATGAAAAACTGTATGAGAGATGATGTGACTCACGCCCTTCTAGACAGAGTGAACGAAGAGGAAAAATACCTGGTGTCCTATAAAAACTATAGGATAACGTCTCAGGAACTTTCAGTCATGTGTGGGGAGAGGTATCTTTCTGACGAAATCATCAATCTACTGATTCAAAGATACTGTGACTTAGCAAACGAGAAGAATCAGTCTTGTACTTTCATCCTTTTGCCATCCTTCCTTTCCGTTGGAGAAGTGTCAGGAAATTTGATTAGGAACATTTGTACCGTTGAAGACATGAATGAAGTAGAGGTAATGTTCCTTCCTGTCCACATGGCTGAATTGTGTCACTGGGGACTTGTCATATTTTCAGTGGGTGAGCAATCAGTGTTCTTCGACGACGGATATCATTGTCAAATATCACGAGATCTTCGATACAGAACAAACATTATTCTCTCTACGATTCACGAAAACACCGAGTTAGTTAAATTTAAACAGTGCGATTGGAAAGAAATTCAGCGATTCAAGGTCCCAATGCCAGACCAACCTAAAGCTGGCTCCGGCAGTTGTGGTGTGGCCGTTATATGTGCCGTACGTGACATTTGCTCTGGAAATGACGACCACTTCACTTGGACATATCAAGATACATCATACCTGCGCGCCCAGTTAATGGTTGAGCTCGTTAATCTCGCATAAGCTGCCGCAAGTAGTACTTCGTTCCTGCTTCATATCAAAATAAGGGAAATCGCTTCACATGAATTCGAGCAAGAAACTTCTTCCGTGCTGGCACATATCTAGATATTACAATATGCACTTACTAGTCTATATACATTCGTCGCTTACCATAGAATGTGCTTTGCTAGCCACTGGTAATTGATTCTTATGTTCCGCATATTCATTATCAAGGATAGATCGTGCCTCGCGGGTAATTATCTTTGGGAACGCATTTATTTATTATTCTTTATCATCCTAGAATAGACTGTGCTTTCCTGGCATTTCATTTCGTCACTACTGCATAACTGTTCTTCATTACCAAGGATAGACTGCTCCTTCCTGGCAATTGTTATCATCTGGAATTTATAATTGGTCATTATAAGAAAGAATGGATTGTAGACTCCTGGCATTCCATATCTTCTGCACCGCATAATTGTTCTTCATCATCTAAGAATAGACTGTGCCCTTCTGGAATCTCATATTTTTGAACTGCATAATTATTTTTAATCTTCTACGTGGAATAGACTCTGCTCTTCTGATATTTGACATCTTCAACAGCCCATATGATTTTAATCGTTTCGAATAGACCCTGGCCAGTCCTCGGATTTGGTGTCGTTAAGAATAGACTGTACCTTTCTGGCATTTGATTTCTTCTGCACGGGATAATTGCTCTAAATCATCAAGTAAAGACTGTCTCTTCCCGGCATATGATATCTTCTGCACTGCATAATCATTCTTCATCGCAAGGGAAGACTGCACCTTCTCACCATTCTATTCCGTCAGCACCGCAGAATTGTTCTTTATCGTAAAGGATGGACAGTTTCTTCCTGGCATTTGATTCCGTCTACAAGCCATAATTATTCTTCATCACCTGAAAGTAGCACCAGAAATGTCATATCTTCTGAATTGCATAGTTGTTCATTACCATCAAGATTATACTAGGCTCTCCTGGCATTTCATATCTTCCGGATCGACCGCAACATTGTTCTTCATTGTCAGAGATAGTCTGTGGTTTCCTGGCGTTTCATTCCGTCTCTAATGCATAATTGGTCTTCATCATTTAAGAATAGACTGCCCTCTTACCATTTGATATCTTCTCGACGGCATATTTGTTCTTCAACGTCAAGGATAGACCGTTTCTATTATAATCGTCAAAAATGGACTGTGCCCTACTAGGATTTGGTATATTCTACACCGCATAATCATTTCAATCATGAATCCTTCCTGGCAATTGTTATCATCTGGAACTTTTAATTGTTCATCATTATCAAGAATAGACGATGCTCTATGCTCTCCTTGCATTTCATATCTTCCGCACCTCAAAACTGTTCTTCATTATCAAAGTTAGCTTCCTGGTATTTTATTCCGTCTGCGCCGCATAGTTATTGTTCATCATCTAAGAATAGACTGTACTTTTCTGGCATTTGTTATCTTCCGGACCGCAACATTGTTCTTCATTATCAAAGGTAGACTTTGCCTTTTGGCATTCGGTTTCGTCACCAGTGCATAATTGTTCTTCATCATCAAGAATAGACTGTTCCTTCCTGGCAATTTTTATCTTCTGGAACTTATAGTTTGTTCGTCATTATCAAGAATTGTCTACGCTCTCCAGGCATTTCATATCCCCCGGACCGCATATTTGGTCTTCACCATCAAGGATAGACTGTGCCTTCCTGGCATTTGATTCCATCTACAACGCATAATTATCCTCAACCATCTCAAAATGACATGTGCTCTCCTGAAATTTTATATCTTCTGAACCGCATATCTTCTTCACCATGAAGGATAGAAGGCGCCTTCCTGGCATTTCATTCCGTCAGAACCGCATAATTGTTCTTTATTATCAAGGATAGACTGTGCCTTCATGGCGGTTGTTATCATCTGAAACTTATAATTGTTCCTCATTACCAAGAATAGTCTATGCTCTTCTCGCATTTCATATCTTCGGGATCGACCGCACAATTGTTCTTCATTATCAAAGGTAGACTTTGCCTTCTTGGCATTTGATTCCCTCGGCACCGCATAATTGTTCTTCATCATCAAGGAGACAGTGCCTTCCTGGCAGTTGTTATCATCTGGAACTTATAATTGTTAGTCATTATCAAGAATAGACTATGCTTTGCTGGAATTTCATATCTTCCGGATCGACTGCAACATTGTTCATCATTATCAGAGGTAAACTGTGGTTTCCTGGCATTTCATTCTGTCTTCTCAACGGCATACTTGTTTTTTAAAGTCAAGGATAGACCGTTTCTTCCTGGCATTTCATCTCTTGGAACGGATAACTATTATAATAGTCAAGAATGGACTGTGCCCTACTAGGATTTGGTATTTTTCACACCGCATAATCATTTCATGTATGAAGACTTGATTGTGCCTTCCATTTGGTATCATCTGAACCACAAAATTTCTTCTAAGTAATCGTCAAGGGTAGACTTTGCCTGCCCGGCATTCGCGACTTCTTCGGCACGGCAGAATTGGTCCTCACCGTCAAGGATAGACTGTGCCTTTCTGGCATTTGATTTGGTCAGCAATGCGAAATTGATCATTATGGTCATTGATAGACTTTTGCCTGCCCGGCAATTGATTTCTTCAACACCGCATAATTGTTCTTCATCAACGGGTTTACCACCCTTGATTTTTTTGTGCACAACGCAATTGCTCTTCATCGTCAACTAAAGACTTGCCCCCTCGTCATTTGATTCTGTCAGCAGCGCATAAAGAAATATTTTTCGTCGTCAAGAATAGACTATGTTTTCTGGGTATTGGATTTCTTCTGCACCGCATAACCGTTCTTCATCATTTTTTATGGACTGTGCTTCCCAACATATGATATCTTCAGCACCGCATAATTGTTCTTCGTCGCAAGGAAAGACAGTGCCTTCTCGCCAAAAAATAGTTCTGCATCGCAGAACTGTTATTCATCGTCAAGGATAAACTGCTCATTTGGTCAGCACTGCAAAATTGTTCATTATTGTCAATGATAGACTTTGCCTTCTCGGCATTTGATATCTTCTGTACCGCGTAACTGGTTTTCATCATCAAGTAAAGACTGTGCCTTCCCCCTATTTGATTTCTGATAGACTGCTCATTTGGTCAGCACTGCAAAATTGTTCATTATCGTCAATGATAGACTTTGCCTTCCCGGCATTTAATATCTTCTGTACCGCGTAACTGGCTTTCATCATCAACTAAAGACTGTGCCTTTCCCCTATTTGACTTCTTCTGCGTCGCATGTTGGTTCTTCATCTTCAAGGAAAGACTGTGACTTCCTGACATTTGATTCCGTAAGCACCGCATAGTTGCTGTCTTTCTGGCATTTGTTTCCGTCTTCACCGCTTATTTTTCTTCATCATGAAGGATAGACGTTCCGTGCTTTTTTGCTATATGATTTCTTATTCACCAAATATTATTTATATATTATAAGTAATTATAGACTTTGCATTCCTGGCATGGAGTTTCTACTGTTACTGAGAGGGTGTGTTCGAGACATCTGATTGGCGCTGTATCGGCTGTATCGGCTGAAATAATGAAACTGTTTTGGATACTGGAATGCGCGATGCGGTCATTTGATTTTGTCTGAAATGGATAGTGAGTTGTGCAAAATGTTAATCGAAATTTTCATTACTTTCTTGGTGACAGCGGAACGCGTAATTTTCGATAAAGTTTAGACCAATGAGCTGTTGGAAGTAGGGGGGACAAAAGAAGAGTAAGTACGCGTTATACGTTTGGCGAATGTGCTCTCTAGACATTCTCTTAATGAATCCAGTCTCGTTACCAGTATTTGGAACCCTGGAAACGTGGTTGTTAGTGAGTCCTGGTGTTAGTCATTAGTTGGCGTTCAAATCAGGTGAACCAACTCTTAATTTATTCTTTACGGTCTCGCAATTTTGCTCTCATTTGGAGTGAAGTGAAGACGACTTGTATTCTCCTCAGACCAGTGTGAGCGTAGAAATGACATTTTTATCCCGCGTTAATGTGCACCGAAATCATAACGAGCGAGGAAAATGTCTTAAACACCACTAAGTTTTCCTTGAGATAGATTTTTCGTATCACCTGCATAAAATGGCTCAATTTATCTTCCTGGCTGGCTAAATGTCGGAATATTTTTTGCTGGCAAAAAAGAGAAGAAAGAGACATTCCTGGCTAGGAACATGCCTTTTTGGTAATAATCCTGGCTGGGAAAAGCCCTTAAGGTAAAGATCCTGGCTGGATATTGTACTTTAAAATCTAGCTCTAGCTGGCTTTGGGGAGCGGATATAATTTTGCCAGAGAAGTTAATAATCAACCAAAAAACAATTTGTGACTGTTAAAATATTACTGGGAGCGATATCCAATCACTTTTGAAATTTTTCTCGTTGGGTACTCCTGAAGAAGCCGCGGACCACAACGAAA